ATCTTCCCTTCAGCACGCCTAAAAATTGCAAAGGAAAAAAATATTTGTCAAAATAAATGGCGATAGAAGTGGGTTACAAGCAAGCGGCAACCTCCCGGGCTGTGTATGGCAAGCCGTTTTAACATTTAATCTATAAGCCGTACTAGTATCTATTTTCATGGTACTAGTATCTATTTTTTAGATACTAGTATCTTTTCCATTAAGTACTAGTACTTATTCATTAGGTACTAGTGCTATATTTTCTTGTTTGAATAGTAGCTGTTTAACAAATGGAATAATTTTTTTTTTTAAATGTAGTATTCACAATAAAATATGTGGTAAATTAGAACACTCTTTTTTTACTTTAGTCCACAAATGTGTTATTGTTTGTGATACACGTGATTAAAACGTTTTATAGACGTTCAGGTCTGACTGGACCGATTTTGGACCTTTTTAGAACATTGGTCAAATTCAGATGTGCCTTTCACGATGTTGCACAATGGGTGTGTGATTATTTTATATGCAGGCTTATACTTAAATTATGCAGCAACACATCTTATAAACATCCAGAAGATGACACATTTAGACGTCCAGGGACGTGCAGAAAAGACGTGTAATTCACGGACAGAAGACGTCAAAGACGTCGGTTCAATTTTCATTTTGGATATATTTTTCAACCATGACGGGACGTGTCGGAGGGACGTCTTTTCAACGGTCATTAAACGTCCAAATGTTTGCTGGGATTTAAGGGTATAGGGGGCGATTTCGGACACAGCCCCGGGCTATAGGTAACACTGCATTATGGTGGTTGTCACATGTATCTTAAGTATATTTTGGGATTTTTTTAAATTTAGTTTTTTGCTAGCATGGCAGTTGAAGGTTGTGGTATCGGTGACTGGAAAGGCCGCTAGAGTCACATGCAGAAGTTTCTGGAGAGAACTGGCCCCTTCACACACCCAGACTTTGAACCTAATGAGGAGGTGAGAAAAAGTAGTACTTTATATTATTTATTTAAAAATATATATTTATTTATTTATTTTTCAATTTTTTCTCTTCTTGTTTTGTGATATTTGGACACTTTGTACTTCATTTTAAAAGACACTACAGTTTCTGTTGGAAACATGCAAAATCCTGGTCATTTGAGCTGGGGGTCTTGGCTGTGAACTACTGAAAAACCTGGTAAGATCTCTATCTATATTTTAAATCCAGCCCCTTATTATTATTTTTTTTTTTATTCAGTGAAAACCTGAGCATACTTTTTTTTAAGGCTCTGTCAGGTTTTCGTCATAATCATGTTGTGGATATGGACATCATTGATGTCTCCAACCTCAACAGACAGTTTCTCTTTAGGTACGACCATTAAAGTGTGCATTTTAAAATGGATATCTGAGTTTGTTGGCACCTACATTATTTAATTTTATTTATGCCTAACTTCTTAAAGGTCCAAAGATGTTGGACGACCTAAAGCAGATGTGGCAGCAGAGTTTATAAACCAGCGTGTTCCTGGTTGTAATGTTGTACCGTATCCTTTAAGTTAATGCCTCTGCTATGACTATGACTTTACACTTTTACTGAAGTTCTGAACACACGTGCTTAACATCTCATCTCAACAAAAAATTTCTTAATTTGATTTCAGACACTTAAAAAAAAAATCAAGATTTTGATGCTTCGTTCTATAGACGTTAGTGCAGATTTTTCATTATATCAGAACCCCTCTCTTTGAAGTATTTATAGAGTCTGTGATCTGATCTATGAATATTTCTTCTTTGCCCTGTAGAGTTTCATATTATTGTTTGTGGACTGGACTCAATCATTGCCAGGCGCTGTATAAATGGGATGCTGGTCAGTTCAGATACATCAAATGCATTTAACTATGACTTGGATTTTTATCAAAAGCCAGTAAACAAATGTTTGCTTAATAACACATTGAAACTACCTGCACTTTAAAACTAAACTGCCCCCATTGAGACGGACAAGCCACACAGTCATTTTATTCCCCATCCATCTGTAATATTTGTATCAACAAATATTGTATTTTAAATTTTTACAATTAATTTTATTTTATTTAGTTAAAATAAATTCAATTAAAATTTCTTAAATACTTAATTTGTGTAATAAGAGGAATGATGTGCAGTTAGCAGGTCTTTATTGCGAAATAAACCCGAAAGGGTGATCAGGATTTTCACATAATGCTGTAAAAGTACTTGTAACAATACTAAAATTATGTGTAAAATAGTTTTGCTGTTGTAAAATAACTTATAACTCAGTCATTTTTGGTAACACTTTATTTTAAGGTGTCCTTGTTACACATGTTACATGTACTTACTATTATAATAACAATAAATTATACATAATTACATGCAAGTAACCCTAAGCCAAACCCTAATCCTAACCCTAACCATATAGTAAGTACATGTAGTTCATTAATATTACTCAGTATTTAAATGTATAATTACACTGTAACAAGGACACCTTAAAATAAAGTGTAACCTATTTTTTTTTTTACCAATGAAATTTCATTGCAAATACTTTTTTTTCTTTGTGGATTTTATTTTACTTAAGCCTCTGCTTGGGCTCACATCTGACTAGTCTAGTGCAGCTTTGACACTTCCAGTATTAAAATATTAAATTTTTTATTAAGTGAAAAGGAATATGCAGCATTATAGTAAATTCATTACCTTACCATCATATAATGTCTGCCACAGTAGCTATAAGCCCTGGCAGATGTGTTTTGGTTTAACTGTAGTTGGTGTGGTTTCTCTTCAGTTGTCCCTGCTTTCTTATGAAGATGGAGTTTTGGATCCCAGCTCTATCATTCCTCTGATAGATGGAGGGACAGAGGGCTTTAAAGGGAATGCAAGAGTCATCCTGCCGGGAATGACAGCTTGTATAGACTGCACACTGGAGCTTTACCCACCACAAGTACTGTAGTCTCACCCTCATATGCTGTTAATTCCATTCATCACTGTAAATGAAGGGTTTGCTGTGACCATACAATTATACATCACTCGTAGTGCTGAGATGAAGTGACTGTCTGCTTTTGTCTGTGCTCTCTTCAGATCACTTTCCCAATGTGCACTATTGCCTCAATGCCACGGCTACCAGAGCAGTGCATAGAGTATGTGAGAGTGCTGCAGTGGCCCAAAGACAAACCCTTTGGAGGTGTGTAAGCTATATATATATACATTTGTTTTTAAGAGTTTATATGACCCTGACATTTTTGACGGTGAATTGAATGGCTCTACATTGCCATGTGATTGTTGTGTGTCTGCAGATGCTGTTGGTCTGGATGGTGATAACCCAGAGCACGTTCAGTGGGTGTTCCAGGAGTCTTTAAAGAGAGCAGCTGAGTTTAATATCACTGGTGTCACCTACAGACTCACTCAAGGTAAAGCCAGCTCACTGATATAGCTGAGAAACGTCAAGAGTGCTTTCTTATAGACTGTAATTCTAAGATGTTCATGCTTTTCTTTCAGGTGTGGTTAAACGAATCATCCCTGCTGTTGCATCCACAAATGCAGTCATCGCTGGTATGGATTGAACCTGAGAGGAAACAACTATATTCTTCCTTTAGGTTTTTTTTTTTTATTCTTAATTTATGTAGTTGAGTTTTAAAAACTACAGTTTCCACCGTCTGCTAAACTGCAAGAGGTGCTGGAGTATCTGACTGAGAATGCTTCTCTGTAAGTACACGATTCCCATCAACTCTCTCTCCCTGCAAATGATTTATAAATACTGATCTGCTTGAATTTAAAACGTTCTTTTTAGACAAATGAAGTCCCCGGCTATCACTGCAACACTTGAAGGCATAAATAAAACACTCTACCTGCAGGTGAGACAGTATCAATATGCTAAGATTCGGAATATAATGATGTTTATTATATTTCTGTACTGCTTAAATCTTAAGGTTTTATTTGTGTTCTTCAGACCATTGCCTCAATTGAAGAAAGAACTAGACCCAATCTTTGCAAAACTTTGAAAGGTGAGATCTTTTCAAGCCATGAGAACCACAAAAGCACAATTGAAATTGAATTCCCAAATGGTCAGAAGGTTGCCAGCATTATCATTTTATTCACCATGTCCGTGTTTCACCATGATTTGTGTGTATGTGTGTTGAAGAGCTGTGATTGGCTGATAGACAGGAGTTAGCTGTTGCTGATGTCACCACGCCTCAGACTGTCCTCTTCAAGCTCAACTTCACGTCAGAAGCATTCAGCATTAAACATGTACAAAGTTAATTTAATGGCAAAGGTTCCTCAAATTCACCCGCAACAAGTTTATTTGCATCATATACCTAAATAACTCCCTTCATGTGTAGAGTCTGTATGTGCTTTGTACTTCAAACTGAAATATCATGTATTGTGTTCTCATTCATTTGTAACTCATAATTTATGAGGAATGTTGTCATTTTATTAACCAACAATCCAGACAATTTTAGGATTATTATGCAAGGATGATGAGACCTGTACCACAAAGCGAGTTTAATCAGGTAAGATTCAGTACCACAAAGGTAGATTGGTGTTCACTGGGATAGTAGCAAACACTGCACAATTAACTTACTCCAGTGCAAGTTATGTTCTCAATCACAGGTCACAAACATGTATTTGACCAATCAGCATGTCTAAGACGTGCAGTGAAGTCACTCATCCTGTATCTCTCACTCCAAATTAAAGCACTTTCATTTGAGCTCTAATAATGATCATATTATTCATCGTGATCTCGTGTAAGTGTTTATATTCATGTTTTTTAGAATGAACATTGATGAAACCAATCCTATATTGAATTTCTTTAAATAGTTTTGTGGGACAGGCCTCTGGTAATCCTGTGTCAGTTGCAGTTTTTGTTTAGTAGGTATAGCACTTTACAGTAAGGTCTCGGTTAACATTAGTGTAAAGTGTTACCATTGTAGTTTTATTTCTGTTGTTTGCCTTTGTGTCTTGTAAAATGTGTTTTAAGTTAATGTATGTACATATTGTTTTTGCAGATGTTTGTGAAAGAATTTGACCTATAATAAATTATTTGCTGAAGTTGTTTAACATTTATTGGCAAATGTATATTTTAGTTGAAATATGAGGAAACAGCGTTATGTAGCTGTATTCACTCTGCTGAAAATTATTTTTATTTGTTTGCATTAATTGCTTTAATTTTATTTATATTTCAGTGTCTTAAATGTTAATGTATGCACAATTAGTAATGGTAATCAAACACAACTGGACCATAATAAGAATGTTCTACATCAGTAGAGCGCAATTATGACGTGAAGAGTGCAGCAGGTACATATGAACATTCTTTTCTAGAATTCTCTGTTGGGAGATTTGGAGATTGTTGCGGTTGGTGTTTTTTGTGCGTTTGGCGAGTTTCTACAGTGATTGAATTTTTCGGCTATTCATTTTCGGTTTTTGACTTGTTTTCGGACTTTGACTATCGGCTTTGGATTCGCTTCGTATTTTGACTCTCGGATTTTGACTCCCTTCCGTTTTTGACGCGAGATTTTGATTCGGTTTGGATTCCCGGCTTTGACCTTTTTCTTTTTTTGACTCACGGCTTCGGACAATCATCGGATTGGTTGACAACTCGGCGACTGAAACCCCCCCGATCCTTTCATGGAAATGGGAGCGGTTAGTGTTTTATCAGTGTGTGTAAGTAATATGCGATATGCACACAGCAGATTACTAACAATTCACAAATAATGACTGTCCAGTGAAGAGCTTCATAAAGTTTCCGTTTCCGTCATAAAGTTGCTTTCTCATGCATGGTGTGCTGTGCAGTATAATTCCCAGTAAACCTTCCTTTTTTTTCTACTGAACTTTTGTCTTGTGTAGGTGGAAACACCAAGAGCTGTGTTCGGTGTTCCCCTCATCAGCCTGAGGAAGAGTGGACAGATGAGGCAGGGTCTTCCTCTGGTGCTCACACACATAGTGGAGTTTGTGGAGAAGCACGGTGAGTGTCGTGTGTGACAGTGTTTCTCAGTGTTTGTCAATTGTATGCAGAGATTGTGTGCATTTGTAAACTCTGTGTTTGTGTTTAGGTCTCAGTAAGAGTGGCCTGTTCAGAGCCAGCGGGTCAGTGAAACGCTGCCGGGAACTGAGGATAAGTTTTGATCAAGGAGGATTTCCAGAGTTTGACAGTGGGGATATTCTTACTCCGGCCTCCTTGTTGAAAGTTTTCCTCAGGGAATTGCCTGGTGCACTTATTCCAGAGTCACACAGGACACAACTGCTGAATGTGTTCAAAGGTAAGTGAAGTTGAGGTGGTGATGAGAGCACATTTTAAGTACTCGCTGCACAACAAAACAGATTTATCAAATTTGACTGAATATTCTTGAATTCTTTATTTTATCTTGCAGATTCAAAAGAGAGAGAACTGAATCAGGCTGTGAGGACGATCCTGAACAGTCTCCCAGAGGAACATTTTAATGTCCTCTGCTACCTAATGTTCTTCCTGTCCCGTGCGGCTGCTGAGAGTCATCTAAATCTTATGACATCTGGGAACTTGTCAATAGTTTTTGGACCCAGCATCTTTCAGTAAATGTTTTCAGCGTGTGTATTCAGCTGATAGTCCGTTCTTCTGAACACATTACTACATAACTAAAGGTCTGAGTCGTCTAGAATTACATGCACAAGTTTTCAGAGTCTTATGAGACGCAGAGACCTGCAGTCTGATGGAGCTGTCAATCATAAAATGAAGATGGGTGTGTGGTGTATTTAGTAAGGTGACACATTTGTTGTCTGTGTGTACAGCGTTCCTCTCAGCCCCACCATGGTTGAGGAACAGGGGCAGTGTAACGCTTTGACTGAGCACCTGCTGGACAACCTGATCCACCTTCTGCCAAACATGTACCCTCATGCACCCACCAGCATCACAGCAGTGAGTTTATACGGCGTTAGAAGTTTATGTTTCAAATGATGGTCACATCTTCGTGTGATTGGCTTTATGAATTAAATAAGAATGTTGTTAAACTGTAAATAATAATAGATAATTCTTTAGTTTTGTATATATATGAGAGATTGAAAATGTTTAGAAATGTGTTTGTGTGTTTTAGGAGGAAAGGGACTGGGCTAATGAAGAGTGTGTCCAACAGCTGCCACTAACAAAAATAAGGTACATTTGCTAAAATCACACACACTTGTGCAGGTACACAGGATGCTGGTCATTACAGGTTTATTATAATTAGTTTATTGTATAATGCTTGTCAGTCCACATTCATGCTTGTTTTATGTATGTATGTTCCAGATCAAAGCTGCCTAAAATTGGACGACTTGGACGATTGAGAAAACGATTAAGAGGTTTTTGGAGAAAGTTGTGCTCATGCACTTGCAGGTACATAGTATGATCACACTAGACAACATTTTTATGTTTGGTGATGAAAAAGAGAGAGGAAGAGACTGACCTGGTTGTCCTGTGCATGCGCTCATATGAAGTTTAGAAATAAAGTTTTACTATGAATAAGATTAGAAGAGAGTCAAGATTAAAGTTTTATTGGTCCTGAATGTGTTTAGTGAACAAACTTTACATATATTTTTTTTATTCCTTTGCCTCATAGCAACGACACAGAGAGTGGAGAGGCCTCTGCCAGAGTGGAGACGCAGACATAGGAGAGTAGAAGACATTATGGCTTGTGAGGATTTCCACAAAACACTGGGGCCAGTGAGGTTCACTGCCAGGCAGTAGGGTCGGTGAGGATCACCAGAAGACACTGGGGTCAGTGAGGGTCACCAGAAGACAGTGGGGTCGGTGAGGGTCACCGGAAGACACTGGGGTCGGTGAGGGTCACCACAAGACAATGGAGCCAGTGAGGGTCATCGGAAGACAATGGGGTCGGTGAGGGTCACCACAAGACAATGGGGCCAGTGAGGGTCACCAGAAGACACTGGGGCCAAATGAGCGTTACCGCAAAACACAGATGAGGGTTACCGATGAGGGTCACTGCAAGATAAAAGGGCTGGTGAGGGTCACTAGATAACACTGATAAGGGTCAACCGGAAGGCAATGGGGTCAGTGAGGGTCACCACAAGACAATGGGTTTGGTGAAGGTCACCACAAAAAACTTGGGTCGGTGAGGGTCACCGCAAGGCACTGGGCTCAGTGAGGGTCAACACAAAACACTGGGGCTGGCGAGGGTCACCGCAAGACATTGGGGCCAAGTGAGGGTCACTGCAAAACACTGGGGCTGGCGAGGGTCACCGCAAGTCATTGGGGCCAAGTGAGGGTCACCGTAAAACATTGGGGCCGGTGAGGGTCACTGCAAAACACTGGGGCCGGTGAGGGCCATTGCAAGACATTGGGGCCAAGTAAGGGTCATCGCAAAACAGTGGGGCTGGCGAGGGTCACTGCAAAACACTGGGGTTGGTGAGGGTCACTGTAAGACACTGAGGCAGGTGAGGGTCACCTGGAAGACACTAGGTCCGGTGAGCGTTACTAAAAGATAATGGGGCCAAGTGAGGGTCACTGCAAGACAATGTTTCTGGCGAGGGTCACGGCAAGTTAGTGGGGTTGGTGAGGGTCACCCGGAAGACATTGAGGCCAGTGAGGTTCACCACAAGACACTGGGGCAGGTGAGGGTCACTGCAAAGACACTGCGCTGGCAAGGGTCACCCCAAGACATCTGGGCCAAGTAAGGGTCTCCACAAAACAGCGGAGCTAGTGAGGGTCACTGCAAGAGAATGTGGCTGGCGAGGGTCACAGCAAAACACTGGTGCTAATGAGGGTCACCACAAAGACATTGGGTCCGGTGAGAGTCACTGCAAGACAATGGGATCAGTGAGGGTCACTCGGATGACATTGGGGTCGTTGAGGTTCACCGCAAAACACTGGGATCAGTGAGGGTCACTGGAATGCACTGGAGATGGTGAGAGATGATGGCAGGTTTGATTATGAAGACACAAGCATGACAGATGCTGATGTTGTTGACACAATTAAAAACTTCAATCAGCTGACTCTCTTTTTTTCTTGATTAAGTCTGTACAAAGTCTTTAGTTTTTGGTTGTCCAGGCAAGTTGAATTTACAAAATGCCAAATTTAGCAAAAGCCAAAATTAAGCACTTAAAATTTCAGCTGTTTACAAATTTATGTATACTAAAATAAACAGGTATTTTTATTATTTAATACTTATGATTATTACAAAACACGCATATTATAAATTTTATGCATATCTAAAATATCCTTTTAATTGGACTTAAGTTAAATCACATGTATTAGTGTTGTTATCAAATACTGTGGAAATATTAGTATGGCGGTATAGAATAGACAGTTTCTTCCTGAAACTGTCATGAGCTCGCGCTATGAAAGAAATATCCCTGTCTACCGCGTAACTAACACAAGTAATCGCCTTTAGAGTAGTAATAGAGAAGATCTGAATGTGAACAGATGGTCTCTTGATTAAGCGTCTTTCTGACTTTGCTAAACCAGTTTTGAATTAATACATGAAGAGGAGGGACACTCGTTTCCCTTAAGAAATACAGGTAAGGCAACTCTAAACTTACATTTTTAAAAGGAGCAGTTCGAAATATTTGTATTTTCTATTCGTTTACAAAATTATCCTCAAATACTGTATGTGTACATGAAAATTATGAGTAACGTAAACGCGGCGTGACTGGGTTTTTTTTATGTCCGCGACAATTTACAAGTTATTTGTGTAGTAGCCTAATAGCAAATAAAGCTGCGCAAATATCGCATTAGTTCATTAAGGAGCTTGTTTTAATCTTTTGCATTTTTCGTCATATACTATAAAAAAGTGAAGAGAAATAGTCCTCGAAAACGACACTCTTCTGAAAAGGGAAGATTGACACGAGTCAGCGAATCTATTGGCTCAATTTATCACAATTTTCGTCTGTTTAGAAGTCAGGAAGTGTCTGTAAATGAGTAGCCTATACCAGTAATTTAAATAACAGATATTAGGCCTACGTTGTTTTTCAGTATTGGTTTGCATTCGTTAATAAGCATGTAGCCTTTCTCCCTTAACCTCTGTGATGTTTTTACCTTAATTTGGCAAAGCCTCGACGAATAGATTGCAAGCCTATTACTTTTAATTTTTTACTCTTCAGGGTGAACAACGGGGATTTAAAACGGAAAAACTGAATAAAAAAAGTGAAAGAAAAGAGTTTCAACCTTGAGTAGTCATGCATCTCGGATTCATTCTAATTAACATCATGTTTTGGTCTAATATATTTTTTTTGTTTGTTTGTTATTGTTTAGGCTACATTTAACGTCCTGTCAGTTTTAGGCTATAGTCATGATGAGCTGGTAAGCAAGTGGATCTAGATAGGCTTTACGTGAAGTTGCTACTGTGCTTTGAAAATGTGTGAATATCCTGAACATTAAAAATGTTATCCTGACAACATTTTTGTTATCTTTCCTGGGAGACCTGGAAAAGCGCTAGGTAGCGGTTTTCCATAGTCAGGTACTATATAAAAGCTTGTGTTTACGGATACTCTGTCAATAACAGTCAGATGAGAGCAGTCACCTGAGCTCACTAGTCATGTCAGGGATGCAGATTGGCAGATGAAAGATCAGATTGACCCCGGGGGACTCGACAGTAATACTGACTCTAATCGCTAACAGTATTTTATTTCCCTCACACTTTTTGTTTCTTTCTAGGCCTTGCATATGGTGAAGATTATAACAAGGATGATGCTACTGAGCCTCAGACATTCTTTTGCGTTTGATGGCTCGCAGATGACAGAGCATTAAGTGAAGTGTCATTCTAAATTCAGGTATCCTCTAAAGATCTACCAGTTTGAGGCAGAGCAATTACTATGGTTAATAAGATGTACTGAATGTATGATGTCATAATATTCATATTTCTCGGTATTTTAGCTGTAAGCTTTGGGCACATTCTGTTATTTTTAAATATGCTATAGAAATAGGCTTTTGTAAGTACATATGCTGCTTGCACAGTATTAAAATAATCATCAAGACAAAATACATTGCTTTTTTATCACAGGAAAATGCAAGAATGCATTGCAAAAGAGAAATCTGCGTGAAGCTTATCTACAGGAATAAAGTAAAGCAGAAACCAGGGGCTCTTCTGCTTGTGTGTGTGTGGCTCCTGTGCTCACAGTCAGTGTCCAGCAGCAACCAAAGCTCTCGAGGCCAAACCGGTGAGCTAAGCTAGTGCAACATCTCTCTCTCTTTCTCTCTCCCCCTTTTGTCTTTCCCCTCAGGTCCAATTAAACACACTGGACACACAGTTATATGGCTCTGCTGGGAGCACAGTCAGACCACTGCTAATAACAGCTAAAGAACCATTTGCCACCCACTTATTATAACTCATTCAATCATTCATCATGAGGTGTTTGGTAGATTGACAGTAGCCTACGTTTATTTGCATACTTAAAGTCAAATAGTATATATATATATAGTATACATCACTCCGTGTCAAATTAACCAAAGTTCAGAAACTTCCCTAGCTAAAAATAATAATTTAGGTAATTATTAATGGGTTTTTTTTGTTCTGCTTTTTGTGAAGTCACTGGATCAGAGCTCAGCGGAGGCTAATTGTAGTGTTGTGAATGTCCATGTGAGGGCGCCAGAATACTAGAAATAATGTTGCCTGTGCCTCTGTTTTCACAATTTTATATTTCAAGATGTGTGTACACGCAATATGACGAACATTGTGCATGAAATGTCTCTGACTGTCTTTCTGTCAATCTAAGGTCGGTCTGAAGTTAAGCCGGGTACCTGTGAAGTGGTGGCAGCTCATCGTTGCTGTAATAAGAATAAAATAGAGGAGAGGTCTCAGACGGTCAAGTGCTCATGTCTTCCTGGACAGGTTGCTGGGACCACCCATGCTCAACCTTCATGTGTAGATGGTATGTCCACTGTCCACGGATACAGCTTTTTATTTTATTTTTTGTGTGATGCTGCATCTACACCGAGAGGCAGGGCCGTTTCTAGCCAATTTGACGCCCTAGGCGAAATCCCTATTGCCCCCCCAAAAAATTATATATATATATATATATATATATATATA